CTTCCGATCAGTCCTCAGAGACAACTTAATATAGACAAGAAACTATAACTTCAGAATGCCCTAACAAAAATATTCTTGTAACATTAATTGCAAGGAAGGATTTCATTCATTCCCAACCCAAAAATTTCCTTCAATTCAAAGGGGAGAGAGTAAGAAGACCAGTGTAAGATTTTTAATATGCATATAACAAAGGAGCAACAAACCTCATTAGAGGAAACTGTTCTTATTGGAAAATTACCGCTGTGTGAACCTTCTTCAAAATGTACATCCCTACAGTGGGAAAAGAGAAACAATTAAAAATGTTGCCTTAACTTCAACAGTTCAACTGAAAGCTTGGAACCGCAGAACAGAGACAAAATAAATTACCTTGCATTAGGATCTAAATGTTCTGTGCGATTAATATTTGATGTAATCAAAGGCTTAGAACTTGAGGTTGTGGTACCTTTAGATCTTCCAGCTGATGTCATGGGGAACGCATAAGTTGATAAATATGTCATTACAAGTTACAACTATTCATATAACAAGCATTTATGTATTCTACGTAGCATGCACAAGTTTAAAATGCAACCACCAGCAGGCTTTAACTTACGGTTCAATCGCGCTAAAACCTCCCTTCTTCTTCCCTCTAATTTATCCACTGTGTCCGACAGGCTTTCGAATTGGGTAGCATACGAAATTTGCAATTTATTCCCGAAGAAAACAAATTCATCCAATTTTCTTTTGGCAAACCTGAAAATTGAAGACAGCATAACCTTCTCAAACACACCATAAAGAAATACTAGCATCATACTCTAGCATCCTTTCAAAACTCTCCTTATTATAGGGTAAATTTGCAGCAGTAACGTTACAGAGAATGAGGCCCAATTATGTAGTGTGTGTTTGGTTTGACGTTGAATTCTCCATAATAACATTGAAATACCAGTTAATTTGTTTTTGAGTAGATTCCACATGTTTGGTTCCACATCGAAGAATTAATTACAAGTCCAAAATTGATTGAACTCAGCAAATTTTACTATTATAAAAAAATTTGTATGGAGTTTTACTATTTTCTTTTTATGGACAAATGTTAGCAATTAGTATGTTATGTTAGTTGGAGGAATTCGAACCACACCACCTCATCACTCTAGGCCTTATGTCCCTCCCCCCAAACCACCGGACCTGAATTACATCCAAACACAAATTATATCACCTCAAAATCAATGTCATTTTAAATCCATTCTTTCAACGTTCATCCAAACACAAACTTAGTGTGGTCCACTTGAATTGTAAGTTTTGAAAGAGTGCAGGACCTT